GTAACTTCTGAGTACGTTATATTATCTCTTTCAACCTAAGTTTCTCCCTCTCTCAGCCTCAGTTCTTCAATCTGCAATAGGGGCTAAGAATTGCATAGCCTTAAATCAAGGATTAAATAAGCTATTAATATAAAGCACTTGATAACCATACCTCACACATGGGAAGTGTTCAATAAATGTTACTATTTATTTTCATTCAATTATACACTTTAATTCTCAGTCTGGTCCTGTAATCCTAAAATCACAGGCTTTCAAATGTAAACTCAAACTTTTTAAAATGTAGATAGGCTTGCTTTAATATGGCTTAAGGTATAAAAATATCTTTTTGTTATCTCCAAACAGAAAGGCGGAAAGATTTTCCTCTCTCAGCCTCTCCAGATGGTATAATATTGTAACCCAGCACCTAAAAGAAAGACCTGGGTGATTACTCACATAAGAGAAAAATGTATTTATACCTTTACTTAACTACTGATATCTGTTCCTCCCTTTAAATAATACTAACCTGTTTGCAAAGGAAATTCTACAATAACCCCAGAGAATTTACTGACAGCAGCAAGAATATGTTTAGGCCATTTTCCAAAGCTATTGCTAACTCCTCATTGGGGGGTGGGGGTGGGGGGGGCAGACAGTTTGCAGTGTTCTCTATTCTAAAAAAGAAAAGTCATTAGTGTTCTCTGTAGAGTATCAGGATAGTATTGTTGGAGTTACTGTGCCTGGTAATATTTTCATGGCCATAATTTAAGATTGGCTGATTCGTAAGTATTGACAAAGTTAGAAAGGCTGCTCTTGTCTTTGTCCTGTTGCTTATCACCAATTATTGACCTAATTTACCCTTTTAAGCACAGCTACTTGTTTAGCAGGAAATTAACTTAATTTAAAACCTTGAAATAATACCATTCCTAAAAAAAATTTTTTTTAAATGTTCATTTCTTAAGAAAGCTAGATCTTGGAATAATGTACAACCTTGATTCTGAAAGTGCTGTCCACACACCAGCAATCAACATTGGCTGGGGGAAAAGGAGACTGTCAGGCCACACCCCAGACCTGTGATTCAGAATTTGCATTTTAACAAGATCCCAGAGTGGCTTGGGTATGCAGTAAAGATTGAGAAGCACTGAGAAATGGATGTGGGGGAGCAGGATTTTGACAAGTCATTACTGTTTTGAGTCACCATGGTGATGGTGATCAGACATAACTGCAATGTGTACCAGAAACCTCCAAAATCAAATATTAAAATAACAACAACAGCAGAATTTAAGTGTATATTTGGTAAATTAAAATTGGGTTTTTTAAGGCATCATTTATAAAATCGGTTCATTGCAGTTTTGCCATTCTTGTTGTTAATCATAATGCCTATAAGAGCATTCACTGCTTTACTCAACCATGCATGAAGGGAGGAAGGAGTAATGAATACATGATAGCTATCTTTTATTGGGAATGGCTTGGACTGAATCCCACTTTGAGTTGACTCAATGGATATAAAGTCTTCTGGGGGTGGCCAGCTGAACCACCCTGTCTTTAGATCAGGGACAGAGAGTTGTGTGGTTGGAACTCCTACTTGATGATCAGGATCTGCCTTCTAGAACAGGAAGAAACAGCTAGTCATTAGAATCTCAAGTACAAAGTTCAACTACTTGTTTGCAGGTAGTTAATATCATAATTTCCCAAACAACTACTCAAAGAGAAAACTTGTCTACTTCTGCGTATGTTTTACTGGGCTTATAGTAGCAGATGTTAGTGGTTACTTGAGGGACAATTCTGGGAGCTCTTGTCTCCTTTTGCTCCAACTGCCTCCTGTTCATCTTGAGTCAATCCTGTGTGTGTGTGCGTGTGTTGGTTTGGCAGAAACTGTTAAGAGAAGTTTCGAAGGGTTTAATTTACAATAAATAAAAATCACAGTATATTTTAAGATGACTGTTTAGAAAATAACAACAATGTATCTGCAATCACATGCACCATATCCCATGATGCCAGAAGAAAAATCCTTTCTAATTTAATCAATATATTATTGCCTGAATAGAAAAGCCTTGCTCTCCATATAAATATTTTTCTATCAGAATTATTCTTCAGAGCTTTTGCATTTACTGATCAGAACTAAGGATTCTTGATTGCAGAGATTCTTGACTATAAAGCCTCCTTTTTATTTTCTTAATTTAGGAAAAACATTTTATATCCTAAAGTACATGAATCAGAAAATACTCTTGATAGTCTTTAAAACAGACAATGCTATAAACCAGTCTGAAATTTTATTTTACTTGGGTAGCACAGGAAAAGAACAGAAATGAACAGAACCTAGTTCTCAAACCCACTAATTTAATGCATAGTTTTCATGTAATTTTTCCAGCCAAGGAATGGCTAATAGTGGTAACAAATAAAAATATAAAATGGAGAATTATATTAGTAATGGGTTTAACTTGCATTTTCCTAAAAACGATTTTTATTATATTCTTATCCATTCTTACATTTTGTTAATATTGGTGAAAACTTCCTATTAAATAACCTCAAATGTTATTCCTATCAGGGTACTGAAACATGCTTAATATAAAAAGCGATGAATCTTATTTCCTATAGACTTTCAGCTCTACTTACATTATCTAAAATCAAAGCATATTATAGACAATTCTGTTACCCCTGGGGAACTAACCATCCAGGTTGTATTCATACAGAGCCCTCAATCCTAAAAAAAATTCCTCTTTATTTCAATTTTTTCTTGAAGTTATTTCCAGTCTATTTACTCAATGCTTTGTTGTAGATGAAAGAAGGTAAAATAAACCTTGGGTCTTTTTAGTACTTCTCATTGAAACAAGAAACAAAGAAAAATCAGGAAATCAAAGTTTACTATTTTTCAACTTTCAGTGGCTTCTATTTTCCCAACATTTCTCCAACATCATTGTGGAAAGGTAACAGATATTTTAGTAGAATATATTTTTCAAAGGTTTATCTGTTGGGTGAATATTTTTTAAAAATTAAGTTCATTTACACCCATGGTGCTGTGAGTAAACGGATTGTATTATTTAATCATGAGGAGGACATTTCCAGTGGTATTGCAATTACACACAATCCTTTTTTCTGAACTTACGTATGAATTCAGTTGAACACTGATTATACAGAATTTTTTGTTTTGGTGGTTGTTTTGGTTAACAGCAATTTCCCTATTCAATTCAGTTAATTAAAAAAAAGCTTAAAAGTTTTATGTAAATATAGTTAACAGAATTATATATTTTTTAAAATTCTGAAGAGCATGGTACCCTATACAGCAAGGCAGACCACTGGCAAAGGCAGCCTTTGCCTTTTGAGCTTTCTGAATCTTCTCCTATTTTATAAATTATCTGTGTAGACGTTTACAAGGTGCCAAAATAAATGACTGAAAAGGAAAATATCATTTATCTACATGATACAACTTATTAAATTAATTCATTGTCTAACTTATCCAGTTGCATTTGCATGGATTGGGCACAATTTATATACGTCCACCTGTTATTTCATTCTCCAGGGTGTTTGTAAATAGTATGTTTTGGGTTGCTTTGTGGTATTAACATGTATATAAACAGAATATAAGTCAGTCTTGTTAAAAATCTTGCCAAGTCAGAAAATATTCATTGTGCATTGTTTCAAATATTAGATTTTTTTCCAGTACAACAATCAGAGACATTTTAAAATAGTATTTTAAATAAGCTATTTAAAGCAGAGGTAGTTAGGACTATAAAATTCAGAAACCTAATAGTCTCAATTTTTTTCTAATCCTACTCAATAGGCTATAAACATTTTTTATTTCTTCCCTCACATAGCCTAAATAAAAAGAAAAAGAAAAGAAATTTTCTTAAACCTTAGCATATTTAAACACCACAGTAGGAACAAAATGAAAGACAATTCAATCGCCTTTACAGCTATAGAGTGATTAAATCCCAAAAGGATTTAGTCTTTAAATTATTCAGGATGTCTAAATTTCTGCTGCCATAATACTTTTTCACAAGTGGAATAAAAATGGCATTTTGCTCATGTAGATCTAGCTGTTCCCTAGGTGGTTGATTCTAGAAAAGCAACAGGCTTTTCTCCCTGTCTTACAAGAAGCAACAGATAGAAACTCTAACAACTAGAAAACTGCTACCCACAGTGGTTGGAAACAGCGAACAGAGAAGGTGACAGGTATGATATCAATCCATTTTCCAACAGCTTCCGAAAAGAGGGAGAAAAAGGACATAAGAGAATGTTGACCCCTTTGAAATAGAAGGATTGTGCTATGTTACTATCGCCTTCCCTGCCTTCCACGGCCCCTGCAATCATCAGGCTTTCTGGGCGTGCTTAGGTTTCTAGAGTAAAGCGAAGAAACATAACTCGAACCATCTTGTTTCAACCTAAATTTGCAAAATGCAGCAAGTCAAATTCATCAACCCCCACACAGGAACAATACAAGCCTCCCCAGAAGCAGGCTTGGGCACTTTCCGTATTAGCAAACACAGACTGTTGTCTCAGCCTGTTGCTCCTGCCACACGATGTGCTACAGCCTGAAGGAGAGAGGGGACACTCTGACACCCCGACTGTGCACTTGGTGGCGGGTACTTCGTGCGCCTGGGCTCTAGGTCTGCGGGAGCTGCAGGGGCCGCGCCTGACGAGGTGGCTGCTGCGGATCACCCGTCGGGGACCCTAGTGCAGGCCGCCCGGCGGCCGGCAGATGGTGCCCTCCTCATCTGAACACGCAGGGAAACCCGGCTAAAGTAATCCTCAGACTCCGCCCCAGCCGATCAGCCGGCGCAACAGCCACCCGTCCTTCCCAAAATAGTGCCGAGCAGGTTTCCTCCGGAACACCGCAGTAGTCCGTGTGTGTCCAAAATACAAAGCAGGGGTGACCGGGTGTGTGTGCTCGAATTGGGAGCGCGCGCGGAGTGGGACTCTCGGGGATGGGGGCGAGGTGACCGCCAATGAAACACAGAGGGCACGGGGACCGGTCCATTTCGCATCTGCGTAAGCCGGACCGCCGAGCCCGTCGGGAGGCCACTCACCATGTTCACTTCGGAGACCATGTCTATGCTGGCGACATCGATCCGCATCCCGACGTCCACGGGGGGCCCTGCCGGGGAGGTGGGACTATATTAAGGACATATGCTCTGAGTGGCAGCGGTCTGAGGAGGGCTGGGGGGCTTGCTAGCCCTTACTACAGTCTGAACGGGATTCCTCCCTCCTCCTCCCCCCCCCCCCCCCCCCCCCCCCCCACCTTGCAGGGGACAGCCTGGGAAAACAGGTGTGAGCACACGCGTGATGCAGTGACTATGCAGAGGGTGTGTCGGGCCGGGGAAGGGTCGGCTCAGCCTGGAGACTCATCCACCTGAGACTGGAAGTCCGGGGTGTGTGTGTGTGTGGTGTGTGTGTGCCTGTGTGCGTGTGTCCAGGGCGTAGTGCACGTTTACGAAAATGACATGCTTTTTTTTTTTTTTTTTTTTTTTTTATTTTTTTTTTTAAAAAAAAAAATTTAAAAAAAAAAAAAAAAAAAAATTTTTTTTTTTTTTTTTTTTTTTTTTTTTAATATTTATCTTTGACAGAAAAGAACCGAGAACTAGGGATGGGTTACAGGTTGAAAAAGATGAAGCATTACCTCCAAAGTCCGGTCGCAAGCGAATGTCATATCCTTTGAGCAATCTGTCCACTGTCTCTTTCACGTATGACATGTTGCTGGGTTCATTGGCGCTGGAGGGAAGAAGTAGGGACCGAATTCAAAATGAGCACAACTGCGAGCAGACATAAAAAGATACAGGCACACCTACACTCAAATAGCAATATACATGATCCAACAGCAGGCATGTAAAAAGAAAAACACCAAGAAAAAAAGAGAGAGAGATTCAACAACAGCAGCTCACCTGTGTGCACAACAGACCATGGCAATCATCACAGGGAAAGAAAGAAGCCCCAAACTCTCTCGATTGTGTACTGTCCACATTACTAACTCTGATTAAAGAATTGTCTTTTCTGCGAAGATTCAAGGAATGCAACTTAGTCGGCTGCTGGGCAGTAATTCCCGAATGGACCTGCGCATGCGCAGAGGGTGCTCACTACCAAAAGACACCTTGTGCCTTGCAAACAATATTCCTAGTGGAACAGGCAACAGATTTCAATCCCTTTAAAGTTCCTGTTTGGAGTGCTCTGCGTCCTCCGGGTAGTCGGAGACACCTGCTGTTTCCATGCAGGGGATCCTACGTGCATATGTATACGGAGTTTTCTTAGTGCATTGGAGGTTGCTGTGTTCGTTTCTTTTCTGCCCTCAACCTCATTTTCTTTTTACTGAGCTGTCAGTGATCTGGCTAAGGCTGCTTGTGATTGGCATCTTTCGTTAACAGTCACGGAGGTCCTAGAACAGAGAATCTGGAGGCGGGGCTGTTCTTTGGTCGCGCG